CCAAGGGTGCATGACTTTTGTGAGCCACCCGAGCTCCTAGGGCAAAAGTTGGAGGAGGAAGGTGCCATTCCAATGCAGCAACATGCATGTGTGCGCAGGTGAGTCGTTGCGTGCCCAAGTGAGGTGATTTTTGTGTGCGCAAGTGAGACCCTTCCTGGTCAAGAGTCAAGACGAAGAACCACATCGATAATACGCCATGGCATGTTATGGCTGACCTGTATTCACAGCGATGCTCAGCACGCATGATAGCAGCAACCTCGATGCTATCATGAACAAGACGCTACTAAGGGCTCCTGGCCTTACTACTAGGAACAAGGACGCGCACTCCTTTTCGTTCTCGTGGATCTCCCGCCGCTTTGCCAGGCAATTTTTGAGCAACACTGAGCACTTGATCCAGGACACCTGGAGCATTCGGCATGTATGGTCCTGTATGGCTAAAGGGTTTGCCAAAGCCTGAATAGACAGCATGCCTGTTGTTTTCTTTTGCCGCCTCAATAGACAAATCTTACGCAATATTTTTATTTGCGCACGCCGGCTACTTTGCTAGTACTAGCTATGCCTCAGAACCTTCTTTGGAGGGAAAACAAATTCCATGGTGCGCCCTTGAGTTGAAAGTGCTAGTTTTTTTGTGCCTGAAATCGAGCGTTCATACCTCAATCTTTGGTTGGAGAATGGCAACATCTCGTGAAGACGAATAAATTTGGAAAGGAGCCAAGGAAAGACGCATCAAGAATTTTGTTCCTTGGAAAATCGCGTCAGCCTCAGTGGACTGGATTTTGATTGCACGCGATTCTATCTCATTTGAGTTATACAGGATCTGCAGTTCTGTAGCAATAAATTGTCCTGAGCAAGCCTTAACAGAGCACATTGGGTCATTGGGTGCACATGTAAATGTACTTCTTGCAAGCCTATAGGACATGTGACATGCTCTACAATGGCGCGCATGCTGAAGTTGCTTTGCCTATCGTCATCCGAGGCATCACGTCCCTAACGTGCTCAAGAGTCTGAGGATCCTCCGCGAGGCACTATTTCTATTGTGGAGGTTCGGCTGTTTCCCATTCAGGACCAGCACCACTATACTATACCAGCATCGACCCTACATGGTTCTTACCTTCAAAAGGATATTCATTTGCACAGTGCACACACAGGCATCTTTTTTTGGCGTGCCTCGACACATACCGAGAAAGCACCAAATGGTGACCAAGTGCGGTGAGGGCACGATTGTTTGCAGCCTCAGCGTCTGCATGAAGCATATGTGAATCATACGTTGAATCGTTGCTTTGGTGTGACCAATTTTGTGAAATTCATTCTTTCGCCGGGCTGAAGCGGTGCACAATTGTGACGGAAAGGTGCACCACTTGTCCTGGCCAGCAGAGTTCTGGGTCGAGGCGTGGCAGATTGTGCCGTCCAACTCAACCGAGGGTCCTGCAGTTTAATTACATTCAGTTCACATTCTTTGCAAACACTGCATTCGGCCGACGGATCACGTCGTGAAATGAAGCTACTTGTAGTTCGGGCAGAGCAATGGTTTATTCCACCAATATACACCGGCGTCTGGGCATTGAACATAAAATGTAGGAGCTCAGCCCCTCCAGCGCACAAAAACAATCACATCATTATTTTAAAAATGCTTTCAGTGTTTGGAAGATATGCACCTTGGCTCCAAAGAATCTATTTTTGAATGTGAGGCTGATGCTGGAGAAGTTCTTTTTATTTAAACAAAATCAGTGGTGATACAATGACTTTGCACCTTAGCACTGGTTGATTCTCTTTTCAAAATCTTGGATAGTCAGGGACGCTTCAAAAGCAAGCGCGTGCAACTTGGGAATGTGTCATCGCTACTAGAGCGGAGGCCATCGTTAATGAAAGCCACCCAAAACAGAGACACAAGCACAGCACCCCAAACAAGCCATGACAGTGCTGTCCAACCCAACCCAGTGAAATCTCCTTGAGACATGGCATGAAAATAAAATGTGGGGAGGCATGGTCAGAGACAAGTCTTTTGTGGTTGGAGGTTGAAGATGCACAGATTTTACTTTATCTAATTGCTGCATGGCACAAAGCCAGCCCCCCACAAAAGCCACATTTAATGACGCATCATAGGTCAAGATCAGGGTGAAGTGGGAGCCGACGTCCAGCATAAGGATTTTTGCCTTGGGGTGGCTCATTTTATTTTCATCAAGTTGCCTCCGCTGAGGTATTCTGATAGCTTTGTTAGATGATGAACTTGCAGGGTTGGACCCACTGTTTCTGTTTTAAACTACCTTGGCTGCCCCCCAGATTATTTATGTTTTTTCCCGAAAGCATTGCGAAGGGTTCTTCCGGAAAATCCTTTGAACACTGATCGACACTTACACTTACACATTGACACTTTCACCACACTTGCACGACAACATGAACGCTATGCACGACAACATGAACGCTATATAGCCCTGTGTAAGTGGAAGAGCGAAAGCAGTGAAGTGCAAAGTATGCAATGCAAGTGTCAAAGTATGCAAGTGGAAGTATGCAAGTGTAAGTATGCAAGTGATGAGTATGCAAGCATGCAATGAGTATGCAAGCATGGAATGAGTAGGCAAGTGTGCACGGGAGATGTCCTAATGAAAAAACATTTCCCGACTTTATCAATTCTCTCTTAAAGGCAGAGGGTGGGACGAACAGCGTCAACCGAAAGTGCAACCCTCTGCGGAGATCGTGCGTGTCGAGTGCGCGAAATGCAGGTGAGAGTGCGATTCGCCGGCTGCCCGCGCAACCCTCTGCGGAGATCGTGCGTGTCGAGTGCGCGAAATGCAGGCGAGAGCGCCGCGCGCCGGCTGCCCGCGCAACCCTCTGCGGAGATCGTGCGTGTCGAGTGCGCGAAATGCAGGCGAGAGCGCCGCGCGCCGGCTGCGCGCG